AAGAAGGCTTCCCTCAGTGAGGGGCTTCACCTAAGGCTTCGATCCTGTGAACGTAAAAACTGCCCCGGGGACACCTTATAAGCACACGGTGGCACTGTGTCCCCACGAAGCACTGCGCCCTGCATCCCACACCCACCTCCTACCCTTCACCCTGCAAGGAGCCTGCAAGGAGCCTGGGGTTGAGCAGGGAGGGTCACGGCTCGCCCGAGCCTGGGCCTGGGCCACGCCTAGGACTCTCTCACGTCATCACAGGGTTCTCTGTCCTCCCCCGGGGTTACCTGTTGCTGATGTTAATCCCCTTCTCCCGCATGGCGTAGAGAAGCACAGCTATGCAGTACAGCGTCTCGGTGACGTCGGGCATGGTCACCGTGGAGCCAGGTCTCCGGAGGCAGAAGAGCAGCTGCTGGATGTCGTTCACGCTGCCGGAGAGGAGAACCACGGCCGCCACCAGGGCCCAGACGTTGACGCCCTGCGAGCCAGGTGCGCCAGGAGAGAGGAGAGACCCCAACACAGGCCGCAGTTAATAGGAGTCACAGCAGCAAGCAGCCAGGAAAGCCGGGCTTGGGGTCTAGGTGCCATCTACAGATTGTAACTGAGGCCGAACTTCCCAAGTGACCCGTGGGAAATGGTGGAGCCTCTCCTGGACTCCTTTTTCCCGTCACTTTTGGACGTGGGATCTCAGTTTTCTTTAACTGAATAACATCTATGAAACATCTAACGTAGGACCTTGCACAGAGACATGTTCCCTCTCACCTCCCCGCCCTCTCTCCCGTCGGCGTGAGCTCTCAGGCCCACGCGTGCTCCACGGGGTCAGAACGAGACACCGCAGAGCCCGCCTGGAGGATGAAGACGGAGGGACAGAGAAGACAGGTCTTCGGGGCACATCAAGACCGACAACTCCCTAGCATTGTAATATTTATTTGCTATTACTATTAATAATTATTAACTATTCAGTTAAATATTAAATACATTATCGAAAGCTTATTTTGTGAAGACAGCATACCCAGCTTAGTAACGTCTAAGTAAATGTTCACTGCCAAAGAAACAGTTGACAGTGGACAAGATCTTTATCATTCTCATGTTGCCACACGTGTCCCTGTTAAAGAATGTGCTCCAAGGCAGGAAGGTCCCACGCCCTGCTCACTGCAACCACCCTGTGAAAGCAAACCCACTCCACCACCACAGCAAGCCTTTCACGCGAGAGAGCGCCACGCAGACGCCTGGATTTCCCACCCTCGGTGGCCTGCAGAGTACGGGCAGGGGCTGCACGCAGCTTCCGGGATAAAATCCAGAATCCCTGAACTGGATGAGGAGCAACAGGACTGAGATTCAGGATACTGAGGGCTCCTTCCAGCTTCTCATTACTTCACTGTGTGTCTGCCCCACGATCCTTAATTTCTCTGTCCCTTTCAAATAACCACTATTGTCAACGATGGAATGGTGGTCTTATAAAGGAACCCTATCATTCAAAGTGTTCGGAGGCTGGCCGGGCACAGTGGCTCATGCCTGTAATCCTAGTACTCTGGGAGGCTGAGGCG